CATCATCTCGGCTCCAGGCCTCCAGCTGGACTCAGGCAGGACATTGTCATGGGATCCAGGCCCTCAGCTGGAGTCTTTGGGTCAGTAGTGTGTGGAGAGATCTCCTGCGCTCTTTTGCATTTGACTGTTTGGATAACTACCACAAAATAATCCTAGAAATTACGTGTCCTGCATTAAATCCTTCCCCTGCAAAGCCCGACTGTAGCGGAGACTGCAGAGGCCCACCGTGGAATTGGCTGATCTGTTCCTGCAGAAGCTCCAGGCTCCTGCCCACCTCTGAGAAAGCAGCCTGAGGAAGCAGCCTCAGCCAAGAGCCAGGAGATGACACCCTGATGTACGAAGAAACCACCGAAATCACTAAGGATGGCACGGGAGCGCAGTGAGGCGCTCACCCATCCAGCGCTCGGTGAGGCCTGGCGCCTGGGAGGCTGAGGCGGGAGGATCGCCACAAGTCCCTGGCCAGCCAGGGCTGCACTGTAAGACAAATACAGAAAGCCTATCTCAAAAAACAACAAAACAAATACTTAGCCAGACAAGCCAGGTCTCTGCTTTGGCGGAGTACAGGACTGCGGTCACGGGAGTGGGGGGCTACGGCAGAGCCCCATGGCCAGATTCAGCCCAGGAGCACCTGACCTGGGCATCTCCAGAGAGGAGTCTGGGGGTGGGGTCACACTCGGGATGGCGCCCCCAGACACCCAGCAAGGCTGAGCACTCTGATGTCCTCACAGCGACACCTCGGTGGGGCTGTGTGGGGAGGACTGGAGAATCCGTACTTCATGTGGCGGGCTGGGGAGCCAGGATGTCCTGCTAAGAGCTACCGCCAAGCCCGAGTCAAGCTGACGCCACCCTGGGCAATACGGTAAGACCCTGTGGAGCGGGGAGAGCACCCTGGGCAATACGGTAAGACCCTGTGGAGCGGGGAGAGCACCCTGGGCAATACGGTAAGACCCTGTGGAGCGGGGAGAGCAGAGGGAGGGGAAAAGGGACGGACAAAAGGGAAAGAAAGAAAAGAGATACCCCGAGCCAGGCACCTTGATCCCAGCACTCAGGAAGCTGAGGCAGTAGGATGGTTGAGAGTTTGAGGCCAGCATGGGCTACAAAGTGAGCTCAAGGTCAGCCTGAACTGCATAGTGAGACCCTGACTCAAAAAGACAAGGAAAAGAAAGATCCTACGGCCAGCGAGATAGCTCAGCAGACTAAGTGCCTGCTTAGGCAAGCCCAGGGACTGGGGTTCAATCTGTTGCGCCACATGCCACGCTGGCCCCACCCTGGGGTAAAGTGAGCTGGCCACCGAGTCCGGGCATGGTGGCACATGCCTATAATCCCAGCACTTGGGAGGCTGAAAACAGGAGGATCACTACAAGTCCGAGCTGCACAGTGAGACCCTGTACCAAATACAGAAAAGAAAAGAAGCATCCTAGAAAAGGAGGCTGATTTCTCGAGCCCTTGCTGTCCCTGGGGTCTCCAAAGCTGCTTCCTCCCTCCCGGCAGGAAGAGAGCACCGCGCTGGGCCTGGACGGGGCTGGCCAGAGCCGAGCCGAGGGCGCCTGAGTCCGCTGTGGAGAACAGCAGCCCACAAGGACCGGCCTGGCGCTGGGGACTGGGACTGCAGGGCAGCAGGAGGATGTGGCCAGGAGAAGGGGGAAGCTGCAGCTGCCGCCCAGCCAGGGGAGGATGGAGTCCTGACCAAGATCAGCACGCGTGCCCATCCGGAGGCGCAGGCTCACAGCGCCCGCAGGTTCTTCCTTCTCCTGGTGCTGGGGACTGAAGTCAGAACCGTTGTGCAGAACAATACCCCTGGCTCAGTTTTAATTTTGAGGCAAGGTCTAAACTGCCCAGGCTAAGGAGGCATGGAGATAGTTCAGTGCTGCCTGGCAAGCACAAGGGCCTGAGTTCAATTCCCAGCACCAAAGTAAATAAAGTAAATAAATTACTGAGGCTGGGCTTGAGCTTGCAGTCTTCCTGCCTCAGCCTCCCTGAGTGCTGGGAACATGTATACACTACCATCGCAGGCGCGGTCCGCGAAAGTGAAGACCGTAGTACAGAGACTGTGGGTAGGGAATATTTACAATCTTTTTTTTTGTGTGTGTGGTACTGGGGATTAAGCTCAGGACCTTGTGCTTGCCAGGCAGATGCTTATGCTGCTGAGCTGTAGCCCCAGCCCTCAGGGAGGGAATATTTGGTTTATGGCATAAAACAAGGTTTCGGTTTGGGAGACAGAAGTGGATGAGGACTGCTCAAATCACATGAATGTCGGGGGCCGGGGAGGTGGCTCAGTGGAATAAGCGCTTCCCTGGCAAGGGCAAGGGTCTGAGTTCAATCCCTGGTTCCACCAAAAACAAAAACAAATCACATGAATGCATTGAACTGAAAATGGTGTTGTTTTAAAGACATCTGGGCCCGGGGAGATAGCTCAGTAAAAGAAGCACTTGCCTAGCAAGCGCAGGGTCCTGAGTTCAATCCCTGGTACTGAAAAAAAAAAAAAAAAAAGTAACTTTCAAATAATAAGAAAGCTTTGGATATCTTGTCTAAACTTAAGTTTCCAGTCTTATCTTCGGTGCAGAAAAGGCCCCTGCCATTGCCTGACCATTTTGCTCTCTGTGAAAGCCTGAGAGAATGTTTTCTCTCCATGTGACTCTCCTGAGGCACACTCTACATCATCGATCGCTTTCCTCTGTGGCTCCATAATCTCCTTGATCAGAAAATTTGGGACACCACTGAGTTACAGGATGTTACAGTACAGGTTCTCCTATGTCCTGAGTCCTCACTGACCTTGAAGGGCTAGGGCCAAAATGCTGGCTGTCCTTGCAGTCCTTCTTTTTCTCTGATTTTTTTGTTTGTTTTTTTGAGACAGGGTCTTACTATGCAGTTCAGGCTGGTCCTGAACTCACTGTAGCAGTCCTCCTGCCTCAGCCTCCTAAGTACTGGGATTACAGATGTGTGCCACCACACCCAGCTCCATTACCTATTTTTATTTTGCTCTTCATTTATTTATTTTATTTTAATGGTCGGCTCAGCCCACCCTGGGGGTGGGGCTGTCACGGCATATGGTGCCGGGGATTGAACTGCGTCCCTGAACATTTGCCCAACCTTGCCTAAGCAGGCGCTTCAGACCACTGAGCTATCTCACCAGCCCTTGTTCTTCATTTATACTTTGGGCTCGTATAGAAGAGAAGCCACGTGATATTTAAACTTTTTTTTAATATTTAAACTTGTGTGTCTGGTTTACTTCACTGAACTGCGGCCTCCAGGTACGTCTGTGTCCCTACAGCTGACTGAAGCTTATCCTGTGTGTGTGTGGGGGGGGGGGCAGGGCTGGTGCAGCATGTGGTGCCGGGAGTCACACCGAGCGAGGTCCCCGCGCTTGCCTACACCTGCCCAGGCAGGCTCTTCGGGCTGCTGAGCCGCCTGGCGGCCCCAGCGTGCCCTTCCTAAAGGCCGGGCAGCCCTCCACGGGGCATAGCAGCACGCTGCCGCCATCTGTGGGTGGGCATGCGGGCTGCTGCCAATAGGACACCGTACCCTGGGCCGCAGGCAGTGTGGCACGGCGCCCTTAACCCTCTCGGAGACCCCAGGAGGGGACGCCCTGGCCCAGATGGGCGTCCTGGCCGGAGCATTTAAGGAGCCCCACTCTGATCTCCAGAGAGACCATGTCGGTTCACACTCCCCCCACCCTGTGGAAGGGGAAAGACCGGAAACTTCCTGAAGAGGGCCATGTGTGGCAGGGGCTGTGAGGACCCCGCAGAGGCCCCAGCCCTCCTCCCTTAGGCAGCCACACTTCCCTGCCGCTCTGGGGCCAGGAACACTGTCAGCGGAGCCACCCGCAGGAAGCAGCCCAGCTGTTCAGAGCTCCAGTTTCCACATGAGCAGGCCCCAACCAGCCAGATGAGGAAAGAGTGAGGTGAAGGGAAGCAAAGCCAGCTGTGGGAAGAGAGGGATGGCAGGAAGACAGACCTGCAGGGAGGGGGAGGGGAGGGGAGGAGGATGGGGGAGGGGAAAGGAAGGGAATGAGGGGGGAGGGTTGCGGGGAGGGGCAGGATGGGGGAGGGGAAAGGACGGGAATGAGGGGGGAGGAGAGGGGAGGGGAGAATGGGGGAGGGGAAAGGAAGGGAATGAGGGGGGAGGGGAGGGGGAGGAGGGGGAGCGTGGGGGAGGGAGAAGGGGAGGGGAAAGGAAGGGAATGAGGGGGGAGGGTTGCGGGGAGGGGCAGGATGGGGGAGGGGAAAGGACGGGAATGAGGGGGGAGGAGAGGGGAGGGGAGAATGGGGGAGGGAAAAGGAAGGGAATGAGGGGGGAGGGTTGCGGGGAGGGGCAGGATGGGGAGGGGCAGGATGGGGAGGAGAAAGGAAGGGAATGGGGGGGAGGGGAGAGGGAGGGGAGGGGCCTGGTTAACATCCCCGGAAGAAAAGCATGCCTCGCACTCCTGCAGTAAGATCCCTGCTCTGTGAAAGCAGCTCGGAGAACTCAGCTGGGTGTGGCGGTGGCATGGGCCTCTAATTGCAGCTCTCTAGAGGCTGAGGCAGGCTTGTTCCAAATTTGAGAAAGCAGTCTGGGCCACACAGTGAGCCAAGGCCAGGATAAACTGCAAAGAGAGAGACCCTGTCTTGAAAAAAACTCTTGAAATTAGGCTGGGACGCAGCTGGGTGATCTAAGCGCCTGCCCTGCACGTGCAGGGACCTGGGCTTGATCCCTGGTACCGCGGTACCGCACGCCGTGCCCCCAACCGCACAATCCCAGAGCTGGTAAAGCTGAGACAGGAGGATTGCTATGAGTCCGAGCTGCGCTGCTAGCAAGACCCTGTACCAAATAAGTAAAGAAATAAAAGATTGTTTAAAAAATTTGAAAAATATCTCTTGAAATATATCTATATTTGGTCTTTTTGAGACAGGGTCTGGCCTTGAGCTCACTTTGTAGCCCAGGCTGACCTCGAACTCGCATGATCATCCTGCCTCAGCCTCCTTGTGCTGGGATAACAGGTGTGCGGCACCACGCCAGGCGCTTGAATTCTGTTTTTAATAAGATCCATATCCGGGTGTCGGGGGCATGCCTGCAATCCCTGCACTCCAAGCCTGTGGTAGGGAGACAAGCCAGCCTGCGCGGCACAGCAGGTCTACACTCCGATGATGCCCAATCCGGGTGAAGGATTTTCTCACCTGGGTGCGATGGCCTGGGTAGCCAGAGACGGGCAGCTAGAGGCTCACAGGCGGTACCGACCGCCACCTAAGACAGGAACTGGGCCTTCCGCTGCCCTGCTTTCCTATGACGGGAAAGGTCTGGTTCGGCCCCATGTAAAAGTATTTTGACCCAAGACAGGCTCAGTCCCGTCAAGGAGTAACGGCCTTTGCAGTTAAAGTAAAAAGGGGAACCTGTGGGAAGCCATTAAGTGGTATCCATTTTATAATAGTGTCAGCCGTTTTTTTAAGTTTCTGTTCCCCTGCTGA